TTCTTTGAGATATCTCCATACTACTTTCCACAGTGGTTGTACTAGTTTGTAGTCCCACCAAGAGTGTATAAGTGGACCTTTCTCTCTGCATCCTCACCAGTATCTGTTGTTTCAGGATTTTTTGATAAAAGCCATCCTCACTGGAGTTAGGTGACCATGTGATCCCTTCAATAGATGCAGAGAAAACATTTGACAAATTCAGCACCCTTTGTATGATAAGAACTCTTAACAAAATAGGCACAGATAGGACATACCTTGAAATTATTAAAGCCATATATGAAAAACCCACAGCCAACATCGTATTGAAGGGGGAAAAATTGAAAGCATTCCCACTCAGAACTGGAATCAGACAAGGTTGCCCTCTATCACCACTTCTATTCAACATAGTGCTGGGAGTCCTTGCCAGAGCAATCAGACAAGAGAAGGAAATCAAGTGTATCCAAATGGGGAAAGAAGATTCAAATTATCACTCTTTACTAATGATATGATATTATATCTAGAAAACCCCAAAGATTCAACCAAGAGACTCCTGGAATTGATAATGAGTTCAGCAAATTCTCAGGCTACAAAATCAATGCACACAAATCAGTAGCTTTCATATATGCCAACATCAGTCAAGCTGAGAATCAAATCAAAGATGCAATACCTTTCATAATAGTATCAAAGAAATAAAATATTTAGGAATACATTTAGCTAAGGAGGTGAGAGACCTATATAGGGAGAACTATGAAATACTGAGAAAAGAAATTGCAGAGGATGTAAACAGATGGAAAAACATATGCTCATGGACTGACAGAATCATCATTGTTAAAATGTCTATACTACCCAAAGTGTTTTACAGATTCAATGCAATTTCCATTAAAATACCAACGTAATTCTTTGCAGACATCAAAAAAATAGTTCTATGCTTTGTGTGGAACCAGAAAAGCCCCCAAATAGCTAATGCAATTTTACATAATAAGAATAAATTGGGAGGCATTACTTTACCAGACTTCAAGCTATACTACAAGGCTATAGTAACCAAAATAGCATGGTACTGCCACAAAAACAGAGACATAGATCTATGGATCAGAACAGAGAACACAGATATGAATCCATTCTCATATTGCCATCTGATCTTCAACAAAACAGACAAAAACATACACTGGAGTAAAGAATTCCTATTCAATAAATGGTGCTGGGAAAATTGGATAGCCACATGTAGAATACTGAAACAGGATCTGCACCTCTCACCTCTCACAAAAATTAATTCACAATGCATAACACACTTAAACCTAAGGCATGAAACTATAAGAATTCTAGAACAAAATGTTGGAAAAACTCTTCTAGATATTAGTCTAGGCAAACAATTTGTGAAGAAGACCCCAAAAACGATCACATCAATAACAAAAATAAATAAATGGGACCTAATCAAATCAAAAAGTTTCTGTACAGCCAAGGACACAATCAATAGAGCAAACAGAAAACCTACAGAATGGGAGAAAATATTTGCAAGCTATACATCAGATAAAGGGCTGATAACCAGAATCTACAAAGAACTCAAGCAAATCAGCAAGAAAAAAATCAAACAGCCCCATTTAAAAGTGGGCAAAGGACATGAACAGAACTTTTCAAAAAAAGAAAGACTAATGGCCAATGAACATATGAAAAAATACTCAACGTCTCTTGGCCAGGTGTGGTGGCTCATGCCTGTAATCCTAGCACTCTGGAAGTCTGAGGGGGGAGAATAGCTTGAGCTCAGGAGTTCAAGACCAGCCTGAGCAAGAGTGAGACCCCGTCTCTGATAAAAAATAGAAAAATTATCTGGGCATGGTGCTGCATGCCTGTAGTTCCAGCTACTCTGGAGGCTGAGGCAGAGAATCCCTTGAACCCAGGAGTTTGACATTGCAGTGAGCTATGATGATGCCACTGCACTCTACCCAGGGTGACAGAGAGAGACTTTGTTTCCAAAAAAAAATTAAAAAGTTTTAAAAAAATGCTCAATGTTTCTAATCATCAAGGAAATGCAAATCAAAACCACAATGAGATACCAACTGTGAGTTTATATGTAAGTATTCTCATACATTTCATTGTGTTCCCAGAATGTGTCTTAGGGTCACTCTTCAATTACTACTACATTTTGGAGGTAAGCAACATTTAAGAGCATTATTTTATTATATTTAAAGCAGAAAAAAACAAAATATCACACATTTGGATATTTTAATAAAAAATATTTGAAGTTTAACATAACATGAAAATATAAGGAGGAAATGTTTTATTCTTTTTTTCTGCTGTAAGTAGGCTAAAGATTGTAAATTGTCACTAATGATATTTAAACAGGTATTTGAGGCTGGGAATGGTGGCTCATGCCTGTAACCCCAGTACTTTGGAAGGCAGAGGCAGATGATCACTTGAGGTCAGGAGTTTGAGACTGGCATGGACAATACAGCAAGACTCTATTTCTACAAAAGAAAAGAAGAAAGAAAGAAGAAGGAACAGGAAGGAAGGAAGGAAGAAGGAAGGAAGGAGAAGGACAGGAAGGAAGAAAGAAGAAGGAAGAAAGAAGAAAGAAAGAAAGAAGAAGAGAAGAAGAAAAAAAAGAAAGAAAGAAGAAAGAAGAGAAAGAAAAGGAATGGATGATAGCCAGGCATGAGGGTACATACCTGTAGTCCTAGCTACTCAGGAGGCTGAGGCAAGAAAAAGGATTGCTTGAGCCCAGGAGTTCGAAGATGCAGTGAGCTATGATTCTACTGCCAAAGCAAGACCCTGTCTCTACAAAAACAAAACAAAACAAAAACACAACCAAAAAACCCCAGATATTTAAGCATATATTTTGTTTACATCTTAAAAACATCCAAATGATTCAGGTAATTCTTATTCATACTCAAAAATAGTATTCTGTTGCAAAGTATAAGTGTATATTATTAAATTCCCCTGTCCCACAGTCTGCCAAGCCATTCGTTGAAGACCAGACTTGCCTAAACCCGCAGAAGGTAAGAAAATTCCACACGGCTGTACAGGGGAGCTGAGTGCTTCTGTTCTGGTTGGATATGAAGAGCGGGGCACAATTACATGCACAGCTTTTTTGACTTTTAATTCTCCCTGACATATCTGGGATATACAGGTCTTTTAACCTGTATGAAAACTTAGCCAACTGCTGGATAATATCTGAGAGGCTATTAAATAAATATTTTCTGCACTTTTAATTTATTATGCTTCAATTTAATTTATCTTTCATAGAAAAGGTAAGGTCAAATTAGCTGCAGAGGGTGGAAATGAGTCTAAATCCCTGAATATTGTAAGGATATACATAGGAGAGTAATAATTATAACTTATTCTCTTTCATGCTTACTTGCTTAGTCAGTTGTGATTAAACCTTAGTCACCCCAGAATGCATTTATTATAAATATCAAAGATAAATATACTAATGTAAACACTGAATAAAGCATGAATCGCTGCGTGATTTTTATCAAAAGGCAAGTATAACTCATCTCTTCCTTTCTCTTGAGTAAATGACCTGAATACCATGCTGCACCCACCTTAAGATTAAATCCAAAATAAGTCAGCCAACTTATCCATCTTTTCTATCAAGTCATCCTATTGTATTCTTTGGATAAATCTTGTGATTTTTTTCAAAACAGGTCAGAGCAAACCTTGGAGTGTTTCATCTTTGTGACACCAACAAAAATGTTAGATGTAGGTTTTGGGTTTTTCGGGTTTTTTTAGTCATCTAAGTGGGTAATGTAAGTGAAACAACTGGAAATTGTCCAGCAATTATTTTTACTGATAATTCGTGAAGACTTGTTTCAGTTTGCAAAAGCAATTCAGACTTTTCTAATGGGTCAGAAAAATTTTTCAGTTTTCTGCTTTTCCAAGCAATATGGTGTTTATAATAAATCTTTTAGAAGTCTAGCACAGAACCAAATATTTTTAAATGAAAGCATTTTTCTCTGTTATTTTCTTCTAATAATAATAGTTTCCATGGCTTCTTTGAAACATCCCAGGAATGAAATGTGAGTGATGTAAGGCAAAATCATGATTATTGAGGATAACATTACAAAGGAGTATATTAACATTGATCTTGAATTTATTTCCAGATTTTTAGTTCTATAGAAGAATTCTGTATATAAATGTCCACATGTAGTGCTAGATTTCATTACTTTTTTTTTTTTCATTTCTCCTAAAATGAACATAAATGCTGGTGGGAAAGAGAGGTCAACCATTTTTTAATATAATCAAGAGTCAATAGAATAGAATAAAATTTATATTTTATAGTGCTCTGAAGTTGAAACCAAAAATTTATTCTACTCTACAATCAGATAGGTATATTTTTTATTGTCTTGATCAAAATCTTAATTTGAACAAGATAATTTTTAGCAAATCTATATTCTTATAATTATTTAAAAATCTGATTATTTTAAATGTGTAGAAAATTTTTGCCTTTCCTCTTTTTATTTTTTGCAAAAAAGCCCACAAAAATTAGAAAAGAAAATGAAAGGAAACTTTATGTATATATCTCCTCATTATAAACTTTTAGTGATACAAAACATAGTGTTGCCAGAATAGATCATAAATAATGTGTATTTCCCTGGGTTAGAAGAACTAGATATATACATTACTAGAATGAAGTTTTTTGTTCTGAATTAATCCTCTTTAAAAACAATTTTATCATGAACTTCAATACAAAATTAAACTTCAAAATTTTTGTAAGTGAACAATATGGTTACATGGTGCTTTAAAATGTACACATTGTTTTTATGTATTAATATATGCATCCATTTTAAATGCATGCTGTTTTTCTTATTCAAGTGGATATCTGCCTTGGACTTTTCTAACTTTTATAAGAATGTGGAGAAACACATTTGTATTGTATTTGGTAAATACAGAAGTTACATTCTATAGTGATATGGGGAGCTGGAGAAGATTTCTTTTTAACTAGTGCAGCCCTTCCTAATAGTATTTGGACTTTTCTGTAGATGTCAGTCTGATAGACACAAAGACCACAGAGCATCCAGACTCACCTGGGTCTTGGAAATCTGAAAGACTGTCCCAGGAATGCTGGCAACATCCAGATGATAGTGTTCTCCATTGGACAGTTACTGTTTTCATTCCTAGGAAACTGGTACCAGGCTGAGGATTCTCATGGAGCATTCTGTAGCCGGGAAACTGATTCCAGCTCTGAAAGCAATTGTCTTCAAACCTTCTGTTTGTGTACTTCTTAAAGGAATTTGAAAATCTCTATAACCTCTTGAAATAGTTTAAGGTGACATTTAAAATTTTTCAAAATGTAAATAATTACAGACTATGTAATTTCCAACTTATTTTAAATATTAATTTCTTAAAATTATTTTTTAAATTGGTTAAAATTTTTACACAATTTTTAAATGCATCCTATGGAATTTAGATACCAAAGTGATTTAATTGCCTATTATCAATCATTTAAAAAAAATAGCAATTCATAAGTGACCTGTTCTTTAACAACTGAAAATTTTATATCTTCCCTGTATGTTTAAACCCATTTTAAAATTTCCCTTCCTCATGAGGTTTTATCCTAATTTTATATTATGTTATTTTATTCATTAAAGTCTTCTGCTAAAGACTCTATTGCACTTCTTTGCAGCAAAACTATAAAGTAAATTTAATTTTTAAATTTCCTAAGAGGCTCTAAATATTAAAAGATATTTCTCCTGAGTAATATTATAATTTTTATTAGTAAATAATTTAGAAAAATAGATTATATTGTTGATTATGTTTAATATAATTATACTGAAATATTAAAACATTGATAAATATATATTAAATGAAAAGCAATGAAAAATATCTCTTAACGAGATGAATAGGACTGAGTTTTTCCCCATAGATCTGTATATGAATGTTACTGACTGCTAGAATGAGTTAGAGTTTAGTATTAATTCTATTCTTGTTTGTTATTTTAATTGAGGTAAATGCTAAAACAAACAAACAAAAAATGTCTTATTTCTAGATGGGAATGGAAGGACTTTTATTATAGTTATGACGCTTAATTCTGGGACCTTTGTATGACTTTTGAGCCAAAAATTACATATTGATCTATAATGTATAAATATTTTTAAAGATCTCTCAGCTGAAAATGTGTTTAGTCCTTTATTTTTGTAGAAAGCAAAGAATTAGACACCTCCCCAAGATCTGTTGCACAGACATGAAACTCTTCCGTCTTCCACAGTCGGCATAGTATAGTATAGTCATCGATCCATATGTTTGGTGTCACTGCTGAAGTGTTTTCACTCCAGGGCACTGCATCATAATAACATTCCAGGTGGATGGAAAGTGTGACTTCTTTGTAACTGTAGTCTCTTTTTTAGAGAGGGATACATGAGAAAAGTATAGGTCTGAAAACATCCTTAACACTATCCATACCCTTGGAAACTCTTTGTGAACCCCATATGAGTACTTTTGTTGAGATCCACTGTCTTGAAGCATCTGTGCTACCTTGGTAGCCTAAGAGTTAATTAAAGAACAAATAAATTGGAAGAGGGGCTGTTTTCATTGTGTTGCTACTAATGGTTTTTCTATAATATTTTAGTTAGTGATTATTTCTTACAGCCCTGCCAAATAGGTAACTAACATACATAATTAGTGTAGTATAGTAAGAAAGGCCTGGAGTTAAGTACCCCAAAGCATAGTTTCAACTATTAGCTCTATCCCTAACGGGTTGTGTGCCTCTGGAAAACATCACTGCACTTTTCTGGGCCTCAGTTTACTCATTTGAAGGCCGGTCTAGGTCAGTGTTTCCCAAAGCTAAATGACATGATTTTAGGTGGTACATATACAAACTCTATTTGTTGTGCATTTCTTTTATCATTTATCAGGAAAAAATAGTCAGCCTATTAAATCTATGATCCTTGAATATAGTTTTTTAAAAGGTATCTAAGGAGAGTCTTTTAGCGTTTTTTTTTTTTAAAAAGAGAATCCACATAGAAAAAATATCAAATAACTAGGTATATTAAAGTCCATGTATAGGAGTTAATGAAGTTTGAGAAATACTGGAGTAGTTAACAATTTCTATGGTTCCATCAAGGTACAGCATTATATAATTTTATTTAAAAAAAACAGTTGAAAGAAAAAACAAGGAGAGAGGAAACAAGGAAGGAAGAAGAGGGAGAGGAGTGGAGAAAGAATTTTAAGAAGAATATGTATTTCTAGGTAGGCTTGTAAAATGCCATAGTCATGGATGGCAAATATCAACCCACATAAGAAACTCCAAAAGGCAAGTTCAGGCAAATTATTCAGTTAAACATTCATGGGAAGATGTTTTAAAGGCAGAATCCCAATTATGCAAATCAGGCTTTCTTAACCCTCGGAACATGAGCTAAAAATCTTCACCATGTTTACAGAGCCAAGTGATGTGGAAATTTGATGCATTAAATATGAAATGTCCGATTTCAAATCAAAAGTGTAGTTTATTGTATCTCAAACAAGAAGCAGTACAATTAATCAAAGTATGTGCCTAAACTACGAAACAGTTTTGCCATCTTAATGGTAGGTTGTTTATACCAGCAGTGAAGAAGCCTGGAGAGCAAGTAGCAGTGAAATCATGAAAGGTGTTTTCCACAGCTTGTTGAGAATTGAATATTTTTTCTTGTAAGAAGTTGTCTGAAGCCTGGAAGAAGCATTAGTCAGTTGGTGCAAGGTCTGATGAATACGGTAGATGACAGAGAGTTTCCAAGTCCAGCTTCTGTAGTTTGACAGCATTGTTTGTGCAACATGTGGTCAAGCGTTACCTTGCAAAAGCATCGGCATGTCTCCATTGACTAATCTCAGCTGCTTGAACACAAGATCCTCATTATTTTCTCCAATCGGTTGCAGTAGACATCCACTGTAATCGATTGACCAGTTTTCATAAAGCTATAGTGGATAATGCCTGGGCTGAACAACCAAATAGACACTATTACCTTTTTTTTAATGAATATTATGTTTTGGACTGCGTTTGGGCACTTCATCTTTGTCGAACCACTGTGACAAATGTTTGTGATTGTCAAAAAGAATACATTTTTAATCACACATAACAATACAGTATAGAAATGGTTGGCCTTTATGCCACGATAGCAAAGAAAGGCAAGCTTCGATACAATTTCTCTTCTGACACTCATTTAATCCATCCAGTACCCATCTATCCAGCTTCTTTATCTTGCAAATGGTCCAATATTATTGGAATAATAACATCAACCCTTGCTGCTAATTACGCTTAGATTGAAATGGATTTGCTTCCACTACAGCTTTCAGCTCATCATTATCCACCTTGGCCTCAGGTCACCCACATGGCTCATTTTCAATGTTAAAATCACCAGAATGGAACTTCTCAAACCATTGACATACTGTGCGTTAATTAGCCACATCCTTCCCAAACACTTCATTGATATTTTGAGCTGTCTGTACTGTGTTGGTTCCACCATGGAATTCATATTCGAAAATAACATGGATTTTTTTTACTTATCCGTGGTTTCACAAAAATTGCTCTAAAAATTTGAAAGATAATCACAAGCCAAACTGTGCACGTGAAAGAATGAGGATGTACCTTCACAATAAAAATAAAATAAGAAATGTCAAAGTGAAATGTCATAGATATCAACTGTCAAACTTAGTATTTAAGGAAACTGGACATTTCCTACTTAATAACCTAAAATAATTACCCAGGCAAGACAGGCAAATAAAACTTACCACAAAACTTGGAGGACTGAGTTACATGCCTACATAGGCTATTTTTACTGATCTAATTATCTAGGTAACCTAATAACCTTGTCACATTGACTATGTTGCCACAGCCAAACCCAATGCTAAACTTTCAATTAGGACAGCTTATTGAGAATAAATGCTAAAGGTTATCCAATTACTTGGAGATAAAGAATAGATTGAACTAATGGATATTAATATGAGCAATATTCTATGTCTTATACATCTAGGGTATGTGTAAATGCATCCATCTAGTAATATGAAGACATTTTTAGCTTAATTTTTTTGGTTCAAGTTTTTCCATTCAATTTTTTATGTTCAAATTGCCTGAATTTTTTAGTAAGATATTAAGAGTAAAATCTAATTTTTCCTTCTTCTTCACTCCTGTATCCTTCTTTAAGAGTCAATAAAATGAAAATTGTTCAGTCAAATAGAAAACTTTAATGTGTACACACACATATGCACACATATACACATGCATACACACAAATGACACAGGCATACATTTTAAATGAACACCACCCAATAAAGTTTATTTTAGAAATTCTATAATTATGCATATCAGAGATGGACCAATCCAAGAAGTATATAAAAATGAATCTCAACTATGCCTTAAGTGAATTCCTTCATTTTTTTTGAGACAGAGTCTCTTCTTGTCTTATATTCGAACAAAGAAAAGTCACTTTTTTGGTATAGCCTTCCATTTTTCTTAGATTCCAAGTGCCATTTCTCTAAATAACCATAGTAACACCATATTTGTTGTTTTACAAAGCATTTTCCCACTCATTTTCTCTATATAATACAACAATCTTATGAGATAGGGACACCTTAAAAAGAACTGACTGACTTCTCTGAGCATTTCCTTTTACAAAAAACATTCAAGATAGTAAGAAAACAATACTAATAATAGCATCTATTTATTGAACACTCACTACTATCAGGAGTTTTTATGTGAAAAAATATTTCTTATTCCTCACAACATTGAAAAGAAATATTATGAATCTAAATTGATTTTTTTCTGAAACCAGAAGTATTATATTCTGTTTCACATCAACCACTTACTAATGGGTTCCACTTAATGTTTGTTGAATGAAACCTAATATTCAGACAAGCGTTTTTCAAATGAGCATGATAGCAGATGCCAGTTAAAATCCCTTAGGTAGCCAGGATCAAGTAGAAATGGTTGGAAATTTCCCAATTGACTATGAGTAATAGTGAGTAATAGCAATCTGTGTAATATATAAACCCATTCACACCAACTCTTCTCCAAATTCCCCAGGAGCATTGTTACTTAGCAGGGTGGGCCAAAAAAAGGATAACTGGTTGCCTGAGAGGAAAGGTGGGGAAACAGGAGATTTGCTCTAACATGGGCAGGTCA